GGTGGAATAGAGCTCGGCGGAGAGCGAGGGCGTGTCGCGGAGGAGGGAGAGGGCGGAGGCGGAAGGGGTGGGCGCGGAGAGGAGGTCGTCGAGCACTGAGGCGGCGGAAGGGGTGGGAGCGGGTGGGGAGGCGGCGGCGGAGGAGAGGCGGTGCTGTGCTCGCAGACGAGGGAGCGCCGCTGAGAGACGCCTGGCTGCGCACATTGTTGGAGGCGGGAGCGCCGGGACGGAAGGGGAGGGGGCGGCGGGCCGGTGAACTGCCGGTGAGCTCGCCCGGGGGCGGAGAAGGGAAAGGAACGAGGTGTCGACCGGCGGCGATGGTTACTTAAAATGGGCTGGACTGTTGGCTATTTAGATAAGAGAGATGGCGAAAGGCTTTCATGCAATCCGGCCCAAAATGGATCAAGCCCGGTACCTCATTTCCTTCCAATCTTCAATCTCCAGAGAGAATCGACCTCTTCTTCCCCATTTGCTCAAAAAAGAAAAAAATGCTCAAAGAAAAAAAGACCTGTTCTTCCCCGCCGGCCGCTACTCGACTGGAGATCCCCCTACCTGTTCTCCACGCCTTACAAGTCTCCCTATGGCGCCTCCTCTCCCCAACCAAGGAAAACATCTCCAGCAAAGAAGGGGGAAGCTAAGCTATACTGGATTGAACAAGGACACCTCGGTTAGACAGTTTTTTTTCTACCTCATTAGAGGGTGGTGGGCTCCCGCAATGCATTAAGAAAAAGAGAGTTGGTCCAGTAAATCAGGGGAAACATATATACTTAAAAAATGTTAATTAGAGAAACCGGATCAAAAAATCATGGGCGTTGATATCTGCCACACGTGTGGCAAGAAAGGAGGGGGATCGAATGTCCCTATAGTAAAAGATTACCACATCACCGCGTGCATGCATGCGGGAATCTTTTTGTGTTTTCAGTTTTAAAAATATTTTATCTTTTAAATATTTTTTTTGAATGAAATTCTATTTTCACCGTTAAATCCGTCGCGACGAGATCTTCGAAATTAGATCTCATATCGATATGTTTTGATGACATTTTTTTTGTTAAAAGTTGTCATGTCTATTACACATAAATTGCCATGATGTTTACATTAAAGTTGCCACAATATGTTTCAACTACCTGTTCTTCTATGTTTAAAGTAAATTTTGACATATTATAGAACAAAAATTTAAGAAACAAAACTTGCCATGATGAATTATTAAAATTTGTCATGATCCATGAAATAAATTTGACATGGTTCATAATTAAAAAGAAATATGTCATCAATTACTTTAAAAATGAAAAATTAGTGACTCAAATTTGCCATGAACCATAAAATAAATTTGCCATGGTGAATTGCTTAAATTTACCATGATACATGCACTAAAATTTGCCATGGTCTATACAAAAAGTACTTTTCATTGTCAAAAACTAGATTTGCCATGGTCAAAATATTAAAATTGCCATGATCTACAAAAAAAAATTGATGATCTATAAACTAAATTGCCATGATGAATTACTAAAAATTGCCATGATCCATGAATTAAATTTGCCATGGTTAATTACTAAAAATTTCCATGGTCAATTAATAAAAATTGCCATAAAAAGTAGTTGAAATATAATGGTAGCTTTAAATCTAGAAGAAAAAACTAGACGAAACATGTCATGGCAACATTAGTGTAAATGCTATGACAACTTTAGTGTAAATATCATGGCAACTTTTTGTGCAAAACAAAGTCGTCAAATCAATATGGGATTTAGTTTTGAAAATCTCGTCAAGACGGATTTAATGATGAAACCATACAGGGCACGGTTAATTAAGGTGACAAAGACCGCACAACTAGCACTCAAGAAACATCATACGAGCCGAATACAAGGGTGCCTAGGCCCAAGACTATCAATAGCACAACATATCCAACCATGTCAACCTCTGCAGCCTGAAGAACAAGCCGCAACCAGATGCGCACTCGCGCCTAACCAAGACAGTTACCATTTGTGTGCAGTGTACTGTAGCAAACCGGGATGTCTGAGCAGACGCTCCATTGTAACTGATGGACCTCCTCTTTGCTACACGGCCTGCCGGTGCCGCGCTTTGCATCCATGGCAATAGCATGATCTTGTTCCAAGCCTCTCCTGCAAAGCGTGGTCCAAGAGGGATCAAAACATTAGCTCAACTTCAGAGTGGAATCAATTTGTGGACAACTTCGTTCACATTCCATTTCGGCGCCGCATCGTATTTCCATTGAACTATAATATGTACAACGTCGATAATTAGTTCGGTCGTTTTCTTGCTTATGTATCTATGTACATTGCCACAACACCAGTATAGCAGAAAGTCGGCGAAAAACAGGTTACTAGTCTTCATGATTACCTGACAGAAAAGTTGCAATTTTCTTCTTCTTATTTCACTTGGCCTTCTACTCGCTCTCACATGTCCTCGTCTCCAACAAGATAGAGCTTCTGCCCATCAATTACCATGTCCACTTCCTGAACCGCTGCGCCATCCTCACAGAGCAAGCGCAGGCGTGAGCCGGACAAACCCAGCTTCTCCTGGGCTGACCTGATGAGTTCATTGATAGTGTGAGGAATCCACAGCATCACCCCCTCTTTTCGCTTGACATCAGTATTCAACGGATGGCAAGGGAACACGGAGCACGGTCGTTGATGTATTTTATCTGCCAGCAAAAGATTTATTTTGTCATAAGCGAACAATGTGCAGGTGATTTCACAGAGGTTTCAAGGCTTCTCAACTTGCCTCTAACTTTTTCGCCTCGTGTGGGGAACTTGGAGAGCTCCTCGGTTTTTGCCTCTTCCAGAAGCACTATAAGAGGCTTACTCCCGGACTTGCGCCCTTCGTCCAGCGGAGTAGTACCGCGTCTGCATACATGGCAATGCCCTTGCAGGTTATCAGGCCGTTCAATGAAAGTATTATACTCTTGATGGTTTGAAGCTTGATGGCATATATAAAGGATGAAATATTGTTTGGTGGTACCTGTCTGTTACAAGCACACTTGCACCAGCGTCTACCAACAACTTCGCCATTATATACAAGCCCTCTGCAGCGGCTATGTGGAGAGGATGCCGGTGGTCGTAGTCTTTCGAGTTTGGGTCGGCACCGTAAGCTAGAGCCCCCCGGATGAAATCAGTCTCTCTCTTTGATACAGCCATGCAGAGATGGATACCGGCATTCTCGAGGTTCAGCTTGGCTCCTTTGGTAAAGAGCAATGAGGCCACTCTATCATGCCCCTGCTTTACTGCCTCTAGTAAGGGTGTGTTCCCAAAATTATCTGTTATTCAGCAAAGATCGAGTGCATAAAAATGTGTTATCATATAACTATACAAGTGTATATGCAAGAACTTGGAAATGGCCACAGGGATGCATTTCACTGAGTGAGCATACCAGTACAGTTGATATCAACGCCCTCATGGATAAGGAACTGTGCAACTTCTTCATAACCTTTGGAAGCTGCAAGATGCTGTGACGATGATGATGGTTATGGTTATATCAGGCATGCAATATTTTATTATTTAGGGTATAACCAGATAGAAAATCCTTAGCAATACGTACCAAAGGAGACCGCCCATCATAATCAGTGTTCTTTGGATCGACTCCAGCTCGGATTAAGTCTGTCAGCTGATTAAGCTCACCGTGGAAAGCGGCGGTGTTCACTCTTAAGGTCAGCTCTTCCTCTTGTTTCCCTATATGGAATTTGATATCTGGTCCTATTTGTTTGACTCGTAGGCCGTATTCCTTGCTCTGCAGTCCGACATCATCAAGAAAAGAATGCACTATCCATGAATACTGGGATTAAATAAAATAATTACTGACATGTTGGTTATTTGTACTGTTTACCTCAGTAAGATTGCTCAAAAGTTTTCTTCCATCAGCGAAATAGATCTCCAATATGTATGTCAATGACTCTTTATCCAACCGTAAGAGCCTGCAAAGTTCACAAACATGAATATTGTAGGGCTGTGGAATGTTGCAAAGAATAGCAATTTCTCCAAAAGAGTTCCCTTGCTCAAACATTAAACTGGCCTCTTCTTGACCATCTTTGCCAATGCCAACTCCTTCCTGAACAACAAGAGCATAAGACCATGTTTCAGGCAAGTGGGTACACCTGCACCCATTAACTTGGAAGCCATTCTCTGGCACTAGAAATGTACCAACAAAAAGAAGAAGTCCAAATTAATGTAGCTGTAGTGCGTAGTCAGTATGACACAATGTTACACAAGATACTGTAGTAAAAATCAACAGTGTATTGAAATACGAAGATCTTCGTATGGTGGTGCCAAATACATGTGATATATAAAAAGCTGGTATCCTTTTTGCGCTTTATTTCTCAAGACACATATGACCATGCAATTTTGTGGGTAATCATATATGTGTGGATTTCCTATGCTCCTTAGATATACCCCACTACTATTCTCCATGAGTTCTTGCTCTGACATTCACATACTTTATGTTTCTACACTATGTACTCTCTCTGATGAACCGATGCATACTTCGCTTGTACTCCCTCCTTCCCAAAATATAAGGCACGGTTTGACTTTTCTGGTCTTCGTTGCACAACTTTGACTATATTTTTTATGTATTATATGTCTATAAAATTATTATACATACATATGAAATAAAATTGCTTTGCAAGACAAATACAGCAATGTCATTTATACATGTTCAATCCATATACTTTGATATATGTTAGTGGTCAAAGTTGTGCATCAAAGACCGTAAAAAGTCAATCGCGCCTTATATTTTGGGAAGGAGGGAGTACTAATTTATCCCTATGCATATTAAGCATTGAAATTGACTTGATGATTAAGCGATAGTTGAATCCAGGGCCCACTGACCAAATTCTCGGCAAGGTGTCACTGTAGATTATGCTTTACTATTTAGTGTGTAAAATTGGGATGTGTTGCAGTGAATCCGATGGAAATATGTGAATCTCAAACCATCACCTGATGTTGCACCTACGGGTGCCATACCGTCATAGGTGGC